ATAAAAATTCTTAAAATTTTCTCTTATTGTGTTTTTTCCAGAAATATTCTCGATTCCTTTTTTCCTGTCAGAGACATATGTATAGTTACTCTTTCCTTATTCCTTCTAACTGATATTTTATATGTTTCGTGCTAAAAACTAGCATTCAGCATTGAAAAAGAAAATTATGAGTTTAGGTTTATGTGGACAGATGTACATCAGCAGTTGGACGAATGTCCACTAGAGGGAGACATGGACATGTCCAACTTATTCGTCACTGTGTCTTGGGGGTTGTTAGCCCAGTCTGTTGTTTTATTTTATTGTTGTTCTTTTATTTTTATTGTTTCATTTTATTTATCCATTCTCATTAAATATTTATCTGCTAAACACTTTCTACCTCTTTCTCATCATATTTTTAAACCTACCTTCTTTCTCCCACCATTCATTAATATCCAGTAAAAACAGATATGCCATTTTTATTTTATTTTGTTACGTTTTGGCCTGAGGCTGAGCTCCATGTTACAGAAAGTATAGTCTTGCTCAGCATCATGTTTAGGGACGTGAAGATGTCACATTGATGTCCATGTTTTTGTATGTAAATGGTGATTGACCTGTGCATATTTCTCTCCTGATTCAGATGAGATGACTTTTTCACTGAAGAAAGTAATACAATGGATCGAGGACTTGTTTGAAGTAAAAAAAAAAAAAACCAACGATGGATTTTTACTTTTCAAGACATTAATTGCTGGACTGTAGTCGTGTGGATTACTTGTGGATTATTGGGATGTTTTTATCAGCTGTTTTAACTTTCATTCTGGCGGCACCCATTCACTGCAGAGGATCCATTGATGAGCAAGTGATTTAATGGTGAATTTCTCTAAATCTGTTCTGATGAAGAAGCAGTCTACATTTTGGAAAGCCTGAGAGTAAATACATTTTCAGCAAATTTTTATTTTTGGAGTGAACTATTCCTCCCACTGATGGGATTTTTTTTTTTTTCTTGTTTTGGTTTGAGCACACATACATCACATTGCATCACCTTCCTGCTCGCCCCAAAAGCATGATGATGATTAATACTGAGACTGAAGGAGAGAGCATAGTATTACCTCAGAACTGTGAACCCTGACAGAAAGACGCTTTGTGGCAAGTTTGTTTACTCCTTCATCTGTTTCATAGTCATATTCTCTATTGTTTTTACTCACACTCAGAAACACCTGCACACTATTTCAAACACACATACTGATGCTTTTAGTAACAGAAATGAGTAATTCATTGCATTCAACCAAAATAAAAGTAAAATCTGTTGGGTGATACTCATTCTGTGAGTGACATATCACGTTTATGATATAACTTCAGGGAAATATGTAGCGCTGATATCACTCTGTGGGTGACTTTGACCTTTTTTATGTCCTTCTTATGAGGACATGCCACTTGTATAAGTGCTTATAAATTAAAATATTTTTTATTGTATTGTATATGTACATTTAAATTGTGTATCTGATGTCTTTTTTGTCTCTTTTGCCTCTCCATAAATAGTTCAGCAGTGGGCAGTTTGACAGGATTCTCGTAGCTTTGTAGAGTGACAAGCAGGAAATGTTTGTACAAATCTGGGTGGTGGAAGCTCGTTAATTGTTTTCTCATTCAGTGCAACTATCAAAAATAGCTTCAGTTTCAAATATGGGACTGGAGTTGTCATTAGATAAGCATGCAGTTAATAAAAATAGCCTATATCAGAAACATTGCTTATAAAACTATGGTACAAGTACTCAGTGCATAAAGTCAACACAGTGTTGTTTTATTATTAAATGCCATGATGACTCTCAGAATTGCTGAAAGAGTCTGCACCTAAAGATATAGATATATTTGCTTGTTTTGTATAGATGTGGTCTGAGAGGTCAGAGAGCACCCTCTGTTTTGATGTGTCAAACTGGTTGAGTAAGTTTCTGTACAAGTGTTAACCTCAAACGTGGCTGTATGCTCTTCAGACGTGTTGTGTTTGTGTAAACATTTCTAAAGGTGTTGAGGATGTTTATGAACATTTTACACTCTGGTTTGAGTGTAAAGGGCCATGCAGGCCGTCTGGTATAATTTTGGCAATCATGTATGTGGGTGTGTAGAATGGCGTAAAACTGTGTGCTGACTTGTTGGCAGGAAACCACAGTATCAAAATAACATATGTACGAACCTTGCTAGTAAAGCCATCATTGTAAAATAAAATATGTAATTTACAGGAATAGCTGAGCAATTCTGTTTAGTTGTTCACCCTCATGTTGTTCCAAACCCAAAGAATTTATTTTTTTCTATGGAACACAAAAGGAGAATGTTGAGGAATCTTCATACAGCTCTTTTTTCATACATGGACAGTGGAAAAAAAGGGGAAAAAGCACCATAGACTACTATAAAACCAAACCATGCACCTTAGCTTTGTGTGAGGATATTAAATACCATATTAAATAAAAGTACTTTTTCCTTGGAAATGTACTATGTCTATATACTGTTTGTTTGTGAATGGATGTCAAGTGTTTATGAATGCCTTGCTATTGACAAAGTAAAAAAAAAATTTAATTTGAGGTTAACAGTTGTACATTCATCCACACAAAGTGCCTCTTCCCCTGCAGCCAGTTTCCTCTTCTTTTGTTAATATTACCTTACATGAGGAAGTACGGTATACGATCATGTTTCGGGAGTGTAAACGTGTACTGTTCTGCATGTGTAACCTCATTTTCTTATTTCCTCAAAGTATTAAATATGTCTATTTAGGTCACTTTCACTATCTGTGTTTGCTGTGAAATAGGTTTTGTATACTGCACGGTGGAAAGAAACAATAAAACTTTGTGGTGATTCTGAAAAGAAGGCTGGTGTTTTCACACCTAGTTTGTTTGAGCCCTCCAAATGCTCTCAGTTCAGACATAGGTGTAATTTTCAAGTGGGTCTCCACCACTTTTTCCAAAGTCGATTCTGTCCCCACCACTTTTTGAAAGCCGATGAAACAATATAACATGCAGGAGGCTTATAATGCAAAGTAAAAGCTTCTCCAACCCATCTTTATAATTTAATTCATTCATGTAACACAAAATACATTTGCGTACGTAAGACAGGCCTAATCTATTAACCTTGTCATGAACATATCAGAATTTATAAACAGTAAATGGCGTAATTATGTGTGCAGCATTGCACATTCTGGACCGCACACACTCTACTGCATGACAGCGATGAAGTAAACAGAATGCTTTATATTTACACATTTAGATCAAATATGCCACTCTCATAAATTAAGCACATAAATTACATGATGTAATTATCCAGAAGTTGAATTATTATAAGTTAAAAATGGCCCCAGTTTATAATAGACAGCTAATGTAGGTTACATTATGACAGTGAGGCAGGTCTGGTTCCAGAATCAAATCACTAAGGGTGCTTCTGAAAATAGTGAGAACTCTAACCTTAATGCTAATATATTTTGACATATATTTTGTCAAAATACATCCATTGCTATTGCGCAAAGAGTGCTCCCTTTATAATTACCTCTGTACACTACACAATGAATCTCTTATTTACATTGTATTTAGACTTTGTTATAATGAGAGGATTCACGAGTGTACAATACTCAGCACGGGACAAAAACAGTAAGTGGAATTTTAACTTTTAACGCCTCTGATTGGTTATTGTGTTCATGAAATCAACAGATATGTATGTGATTGGTTACATTAAATGTTATTATTAAAGCTTTAATTGAGGGTGCTTACCAGCTACTAGCACCTCCGTGGGCATTCTGCCTGCTTTAAATCAGACACAGAGATGAAGTACTGTGGTAAATCAATTTTATTTGAATGTATGAATTATATGATTGATTTGAATTAATTATCGAGAGAGAGAGAGAGAGAGAGAGGGATGAAAGTTGCGTATGTGAATTGCATCTGTGCGTCACTCTGCAAACAGTGAAGCTGTGACTTTAGTTACTTTAAATACAGCAATTTTACCCCCAAGTCACTGAGGAATATAATGTAGTGATTAAGTATCAAAGCTATTATATTCATAAAAAGTTGCGGGGCAGCGTTGACAAAATGTCTCTGTGCTCCTGAATGTTTCTATGTGTGCACTGCATGATCTCCGATCTCTGTGTGCGAGTGATGCGCATACAAGCATGTGTGTCAATGAAAGCAGCGCATTAATATGGAACAGTGATTAAACTGACTTGGAACTACATGTGCATTAAATGGTTTTAATTCATACCTGCCAGGAGCAAATAAATATTTTAATACCCTTAATCTTATCTGAGGAAAAAAGGAAGCTGAATTAACTTTATACATAATGTTTCCTTTTAATTTTAAATTTGACTGAAATGCATTGTTAAAGCTCTGCAAATGTCATGATCAGGGATTGCCAGATCTTCCTCACCCCCTTCCCTGTCCACTTCGTCTTTCCAATTTTCCAGTAGGTCAGACTCCAGCATTCCAGTGCTGCACAGAAGGTTCTTATGAATTTGTGGTGTGAACAAGAAAGGGTCTGAGATCACTTCCATGCTGAAGAGGACCAAAAAAAAAAAAGAACCAGGTTCTCTTTTGAGTCCGCTATATTGTGAACACCAAAAAGAACTGAGGTCACTTTCAGCTGGTTTGCTTTCTGGTTCACTTTAAGTGAACTGGGTTTGGTTCTTTTAAATCAAACTATATGTGAAAACACCCTTAAATAGGTATACATTAAAAGATCAGTTCACCAACCTAAATAAAGAGAACGTTTCCTGTCAAAAGGTCAGCTTTGTGCCCCAGTTTGCAGACAATGGTTTGCCTTTCAGATTCAAGAGAGATGAGCAGCATGTGCAGTGTGGTCATATTGTGTGGCACAGATAATCTCAAAGAGAGCTATCAGTTTAGAATTATTTTACTATCTTTTCCCATCTTTGTGATTACACTTTAATGTCCTTCCCCTACAACTCTATACTTCTTTTTTTCCAACCAACGCTGACACTGGTTTAGTGACATCAAATGTAGCTTCCTCTTCCTACTGCATCATCAGGTCTACTGGCTTTCAAAAGGCAGTGTTTTAGAGTCTGGACACACACAGCCTCATAATCGGCACTGAGATCATCATGGCAGCTGAGGTATGCAGTGTTTCGTTGTATGCAAATGTAGATCAACATCTATGTTATTTGATAAATGTATCCAGTTGAAAACATTTAATGTGTGATGTCTTCTAGGGAAATCCTGTTTGTGGTGGTGTTATGTTGCTCCACACTGAATGTGAAGGGAAACACTCGTATGAAGTGAATGGCTTTTTTAACTATAAAAAAGGAAAATTCGCACGGTGAGACTCTGTCTGTCCGTCCGTCCGTCCGTCCGTCCGTCCGTCTATCTATCTATCTATCTATCTATCTATCTTCAACTGTGTAACTATCTGGCTGTCTGTTCATTCATCTATATCTGATTTTTTTCAGCAAGGGAGATAAAGTTATAATGATAAACAACACAGATGTAGAGGATTTGACTCCACAGGCATTTGCTGAGCTGCTGGTTGAAGAGTCCCCCTTACTTGTGAGTTTTGTATTTATTGACACACACTAATGCACTTGTATGCACTTACTTACTCAGTTCAATGAAATGTAAGAGAGAAGTGAAACTGAAGTTTTCACAGGGGCTTTTTTGCCTAGTCAGGAAACTTTGATTTATCACATGGACATGTGTGTGGGTGTTTAAAACATTAAATTCCAGAGATTACATCATCATGGTTTGTTTTTGATTAACTGCTTGAGGAGTAAAACATCTGCCTGAGCTAGTGTGATTTACATTAACTGTGCTGAGGTCTTAAATCTCCTCTCTTAGACCATACATCATTCGCCCAAAAGGAAAACCGAAGAATGTGAATCTGAGGAAATCAATGTGCGTAAAAAGGAGCCGACAGTCATGAGATTCAGCGTGATGATGGTAAGAGAGGAAGATCTAGAAGCCACTGGAGTTCAACCATCGCCAGAGTGGGAAGACAAGGACATTGAGGATGACTGTTTCAGTAAAGACAATCTTCTGCTTGTCTCCATGGCTGAGACAAGCTTCAGTGTGATCGTTGCTCGGGGCTGTGATCCTGACAGCCCTTGCAACAGCTGTGGAGGGATGAATTGCCAATTTAATGAAGTTGTTGTCCTGCCTGCGACAGCTGAGATTACCTTTAGTAAGAAACAAATGTTGCATTCGTTGACAATACAATTCAAGTTCTTAAATATTATAACTGATGTCCATAAAACGTATTTTTCCTCTGTTTTGTCAGATTCTTCAAGGATTTTGATGCGGATTAGAGAGCAAAAAAATTTGTTCATTAAGAGTTTCTTGGTGGAAAAGTATGTCACCCCAGAGAATCAGCATATGCTTTTGAAAGACACCATGTCAGGTTGGTAATAAATATAAAATGTAACAATACTATACAATAAAGTTTATATATATATGCATATATTAATTATATAATAATATAATTTTGTAAATACTTTTTTGCAATCAAATTAAAAGTTTATTTAGAAGTAAATTAAATAACTGAACTATCATTCTTTGTTTTGATTTGATTCAAGTACATTTTGAAATATATTTTGCAATACTTTTTGTTTCAGCAAAAATCACCCTCTACTATTATACTATCACCAAGGGCTGTGAAGGTGTTCCTGTTGTACTGAACTTCAGTGGCACAGAAAACTTCTTCTGCTGTACCACCAAGCAAGGTGAAGATAAGAAGATTTTGACAGTCATGGTAAGTTTATTTTTATTTTATTTTATTTATTTGTTTTTTGTTATTTGTTATGCATCTTGGCACCTAAATTTAAAGGAATGTACTTTTTATACTTTTTTTGGAACACTTTTTTATGTCTTTTTTTATTATTATTATTGTTATTATTTTCAAGTCAAGTGAAAATCAATGAGGTCCAATATTGTTTGGAAAGTCATTTAAAAGTAGACTAAAAGTCGTTTTTTTACAAGTATGATTTATGCACTGTATTCTTATAGGTGAACTGTTCCTTTAAGCTGAAACTAGACTTGTTTTGTTCGTTTGCAGAACTGTAATAAAAAGGACCTGAAAAGCATCTGTCCTGATGACCGAGAAAAATGGTCTCTTGTATTTTACATGTCTTGTGGGCGAGACAATCTCCGGCGTTTTGAGTCAGCTCTTTACAGAGGATGGTTTATCTACACAGAAAGGGTAGATAATAGAGAATTGGACATGCATAAAGAAGATCAGTTTGACAGTAAACAAGACAGTGCCTTCTCATTCATAATTCTGAGTGAGAATGGGTCATGTTAGAATTCAAGGTCTTGATATGGACATCACAGAATTGAGAAGAGTTTGTATAGTAGTGATAACTTATTACAAACTATTTTCAGTATCAGTTTTGTATATCACACTTGTATATGACGTTTTATAACTGGGAATTGTTCTCAAATTAACTTGCAATTCAAAATAATGATTATTCAAACCCAATCCTAACATAATGAACTGATCTTACTGATTCAAGCTGACATGACCATCCCTACTGAAGCCTACTGCTTCATTAAAAATGTCAATCAATTCTTTGGACTGGCATCTTGGAAAGAAGCAAATTGGTCAGATTAGTTTGTTAAGAGAATGTGCTGGAGACTGTTTAAGCGTTGGTTAAAGTTGCCACATGTTTTGGATGAGTTTAATTGTTAAGGTTGTCTTAGAGGAAGCAGCCTCTTCCAAAGAATGGTGTGTTGTACTGCCATCGCAGTAGTGAGTAGATATGTATCATACTATGAGCTGACGTTGTTTTGTTTTTTTGTCATCTTTTTTATATTCAGCTACTTTTAAACTGATGTTTGTAAACCACCACATGTAATTCATATTTATTTTTATTGCTAACTGGTCATAGTTACTTTTTGTGCTGAAATATTATAATTTTGCAAAAAAACTTTTTTTAAACACAATGTGTGTCATTCCTGTATTTATATCAGCTATTATTTACATTTGTTAGTATAAGATAAAAGCTACTAACAACTTGCTTTTTCTGAATAAATGTATCATTTACTATATTAACGTGTGTTTATGTATTATGTTTCTTCTATAAAATCACAACAAATAAGTTATGAATCAAGTTCAGTGCTTCAGCAATTGTTTCAGATTCATCCTAGTGTTTTACAAAATAACCAAGGCACTTCAACAAAAACCCTTTATTTTGTGGAAAACACAGTGATCAAAATTAGAGAACAGCTGTAGCACAAAGAAAGATTACAACTAAAATGTCTGAAGGTTACAGCAGTCAAAAATTAGTGGGAAGTGTACAGGCCCTTGCTTATAATGACTTCAGCACATCTAGCCACAGGACATCACTAGTTTCTCACACTCCTCTGGTTTTCTTAGACATAAATTTGTTGCTAAGGATTTTCCAGAGATCTTCAATTGGGTTTAGATCAAGACTGCTGGCCATTTCATTATTTCAATGTTTTTAGCTTCAAGGAACTGCTTTACCAGTTTTGCAGTTTGACAGGAGTATTGTCTTGCATGAAAATTGCTGACTGATTGGGAGATGCTTGCAGGGAAGGTACCGCATGTTGCTGGAGGAGGTACTGAGAAACATTTGCATTCACTCTGCCTTGTAGCTGTATAAAGGGGTTTTCACACCGTTCTAGGAACTAGCTAGCAGGGTCGTTCCTAGAGAACCAATTTCTCCCTCGTTTTCCTGGTTGCATTTGCAGCAGCGACGTCTTTGTGGCAAATGCCGTTATTTATTATATATATATATATATTTGGATTTTTTTTTTTCAAAATGCCCCCAATTTTAGTTCCCCCAAATGGACTTCCTAGAACTAAAACCATTCCTACTTCCTGCAGTGCAAATACACCCAAAAAAAAGGGTACTTCCATCAATGGTTCTAGGTTCCTCTGGAGAGAAAGCCCCTTAAGAGGCGCAACTCCTGCTGCAGAAAACACCCCCAAACCATGACAATTCCTCCTCCACCTTTCACTGACTTCTTTACACACTTTGGGTTCAGTCTTTCCCCAGTTTGATAAACATAATGTTTCGCATTGGACCCAAATAAATTAAACTTGCTTTCATCACTGAAGTGAATTTTGGAACAGTTTTCCTCTGTCCACACAACATGCTCCTCTAATCTAGCCTTTTGATTCTTTCTGCTGATGAGAGATTTGCTCACTGCAGAGTGTACTTTCAGTCCACATTCTCTTAAATGTCAAGACACTGTATGCCGAGACAGATCCTTACCCTGTTCAGTGCTGAACTGGCGAGCAATTCCAGCTGCAGTGTTGAACCGATTCCCCATTGAGATTCTCCGCATTATTCTGTTTTCTCGTGCATTTGTCTTTCATGGACAACCAGCCTTATTGAGGGACTTGAATGAGATAGTGATTGTAAAGCTGCAATATTCTAGAAATCGCAGATTTGGAACAACCAATTTTTCTTGCTATGGCAGCTATTGACCTTCATCTGGACAACCTGCTGTAGGAGGGTTTCAGTCACTTTAGATTGGCTCACCGTTTTGCAAAGTCAGTGAAAACTGGAAAGTTAAGCTCCCAGTTAAACAGGGTTTTTCAGATAATTTAGGAAATTAGCGCGAAGTGCCAGATTAACCCCAATAATTAGGAGGGATCTCAAAGTGTTCTCTAATTTTGATCAGTGTTCCTTTTTTACAAATATCTTTTTTATACTATGCTATTCAATATTAATATCGATAATATCGATATTCAACTCATGAAATATGCTTAAAAACTGCACTTTTACTCCTGTTAGGATAACTTCAAATAGTAGGCTACTAAGCCAGGTACAGGATTTTCATTTTAGGGGGGCTCAGCCCCCAATGAGGGTATATATATACAGTGGTGTGAAAAAGTGTTGGCCCCTTCCTGATTTCTT